ATTAAGTATTATACTAATGTTTATGTAGTAAATTAGTAATTACTGATGTTTATAATATAATATCATGATCAATTAAGTAATCATTTAATTATTTAATGTTATAATTAATTATATGATCATATTATAATGTAATGTTATCGTGAATTAAGTAATCATATTATAAATCTTTAATATAATATTATAATTAATTAAATTTTTAATCATTTAATTAAATATTGTACTAATGTTTGTAATGAAATGTTAGAATTAATTAAGTAATTAAGTAATTATACTATAAATTTATAATATAATGCTATAATTAATTAAATTTCTAATTATTTAATTAAGTAATATACTAAATGTTATAAGTCAATTAATTAAGTAGTAATAAATTAATGTAATGTTATAATTAATTATACTATAAATCAATTAAGTAATGTTATAAAATTATAATTAATTAAGTAATCATTTAATTATAATGTAATGTTATAATTGTTTAAGTATGATATTTAATTAGTAATTAAATTTATTAATGTTTATCAATTTATCATATATAATTAATTAATTGCTAATTTACTATAGATATACTTAGAACATGATAATTGAAGTAAATAACTAAATATATTATTATTCAATCAAATATATTATTTTATTCAAAAATGATTCTTTTAATAATATTAAAACACTTTTAATTGGTTCCTAATTCTAATTATACACTTAATTAATCAAAACTTTAATATTAATATATTATAATATATTAAAGTTTTTAATAGGACGTAGTTTATATGTAATAAGTATCATTGTATATTTATATAATTAGGTTAATCTAAAATTTTAATTTTTTTAATTTTAAATTTTTTATATGTAAAATAATGAAACCCCCTATTACTCACAAATATTTCATTGGAGCCAAGTTTCCAAAACATGTTCTAAAATAGGTTCCAAAACAGATTCTAAACAGATTTCAAATGGGGTACCCTCTATAGGTTCCAAGTAGTTTCCAAATCGGGTACCCGCTTCAAGTTCTTTTTCCAAGTTCCAGTTCCAATTCCTCCACACATAAGAATTGGAACCAGAACTGCACAGTGTCGGTTCCAATAAAATGAAACTTGAACCTACCCGCACAGTGTCGGTTCCGGGTAGGTTTCAGTTTCGGTTCTGGTTCTACCCACAGGTTTCGGTTCTACCCGCTATCCGTGCTCACCCCTAGTTGACCACAGATCGCAGGGTTTACCATGTTTCAAAAGCCTTATTGGGGGTTGGGAGATTTGTCGAGGTATGGGCAAGTAATCTAAACCTCAAAAAAAAAAAAAAAAAAAAATTATAATCCCAAATATTTATGCCTGCAACTGTAAAATTACCTTGAAATCAAATTCATAAATTACCTTAATGCATTTGCATTTCGCAGTGACGTTACTTCGAAAAAACGACCCACAAAAACACTCTTCAAACATGGCTTTGAGATCCCCATTTCGTTCGTCGTCAATCTCTCAAAACCCATCCCCGAAAATTAATGTTTTATTTTTGTTAGCTCCCTTACACAGACTCACAACTTCTAGCTCCAAAAATGAAGTTTTGTATTCTTTCGAAAAACCCCTTGAACGATCCTCACTTGCTAAATTCCTCAAAGAAAATTGCAGATCAGGTAACTTCAATCTGAATGAAGCATTGTACTTCTTTTATTACATGATTAATTTGCAACCCATTTCTCCAATTTCATCATTCAACAGATTGTTTAATGCACTTGCAAAGGAGAAGCATTATTATGAAGTGATTTGGCTTTATAAATGGTTGAATTCAACTCGGTTGTATTCAGATTTAATGTCGTTGAATATTTTGATAAATTGCTTGGCTAAGATTAAAAGGGTTTCGTATAGTTTTGCGGCTTTTGGGGGGATTTTGAAGAAGGGTTTTAGCCCGAATGCCGTGACTTTTAATTGTTTGATTAAAGGTCTGTGTGTAGAGAGAAAGATTATGGAGTCGATGAGATTGTTTAAGAAAATGGTTGCTGTTGGTTGTGGGCCTGATGTATTCACTTGCAGCATTTTGATTGATGGATTGTGTAAAACAGGGAAGATATGTGTTGCGATTAAGTTGCTTGATGAGATGGTTAATGGGAATGAAGAATTTGGTGTTATTTGTAGGCCAGATGTTCTTGCTTATACAATTATTTTTGGAGCTTATGATTCAGAGAGGTGTGGTTCCTAACATTTAGAATTTCTGGTGTTGTTGTTCTTTACCATTTTGAAGAAAGGCGGTTGAGCTATTAAAAGTTTTACCTTTGTGTTGTCTGGGTGATTGGGAGAAGAGTATAAGTTTATTTATTGCGATGATGGATCAAGGTGTACAGTCTAATGTGGTGACGTTTAGTGTGGTCTTGGATGAATTAGATTATCGCTATATCTATAACACATTGAGCAAGTAGCAATGAGAGAGAGGAAAAATAAGGTGAAGGTGCCAGGGAATGTACCCACAAAGAAAAATTAAACGAGAGATAGAAGAAAAAATGTCAAATAAAAAACATTTTTATTTGACTAATCAACTTCTTCTTCTGTTATTTTCGTTCCTAATTTACCTTCAATATGAACTCTCTTATTCTGATATATTAAAATTTAATTCAGGTCCTTTAAACATTGTCTCAATTGTAGAGTCTGATTAAGCAAAATGAGATAGAGTCGAAAGCCTTAGACAATGTCTTCATTTGGGCACAGTAAGTAGTCTTAAAATATTTCTTACAGTCCTCGACCGATATCGATATTGTCACAGATATTTCGAGAATTCGTTTTGTATATTACGAGTTTTATATTTAATGTTGTATGTCTTGCAGTAAAATGGGATAAAAGTGATTATCAATTTGTACGTCCTCCAAGGCTCACAGAATGGTAATGACCACAGTGGGACAAGAGATGGTTATCATGAATGGGGAGATTCCAACATTGAAGATATTGTGTTTGTCATAAACTTACTGGCTGCAAGGTTAACGCAATCGATTTCAAGCAATCATTCTATTAATGTTATACTCTTCTTTCAATGTCGATTTAACGGTTGTCAATGAACAGGAATGCTAATCAATCAAGTCTGGCACCAGGAGTCACTCTAGATACTTTTGAAAAAGTATTACAAAACTGGTTATAATGCTGTGAGAAAATACACCTCAAGTGCTTATGTGATCCTCTCCAATCGTTTGGGATTTCCGGTTGATCTGAAAGAGCTCCTCCCGCTTGCAAACGGGGCTAGTGGAGTTGCCATTGATGTGCATTACTGTAACCTGTAACCTCTACTCAGACACGTTTAACACCTTCGACGTGCAGCAGAAGATCGATTATATCTATAATCAACGAGCTTCTAGTATAAATTTTATCACCACATCTAATGATAGTTTAAGCCTTTATTTACTTAACATGTTATCGAAGTTAAAAGTAGTCGAGTTTTGCAGGGGAATGGACTTGTGAATGGGGCGTACAAGGAGCATCGATGGCTGATTTAAGAGAGATTTTGCAGGGCTCTAATAGATGTTTATGGGCGTGCCACATTTGGATGGGGGTGTTGGGCTTATAAATGCGTGCATAATCACTGGAGCCTCGAGTGGACGATTGAAAACAATTATATAAAACTCAATCCATTGTTGGCCTTGGCCCAATGGAATTATAAGCCCAAATATTTAGGCCTGCAACTTTAAAATTACCTTAATATATATCTCCAAATAAAGGTAAAATCAATTCATAAATTACAGAAAGAAAAAAGAGCGAAATTAAAGGACACAGAGAGCTGGTCTCATTTACAGTGTCTTCTCAGATTGTTTCAATAAATAAATCTGTGCAACATTGATAAATTAAAAATTAAATTAACTTTGAAGCTGAAAATATAATAAAGGAAGTTTAATATGTAGAGTTGGATTTTGTTCAAGTAATTGGGCTAAATAAAATGGGCCAAGGCAGATGAAGTAAGCCCATGATGAGTAAGAGAATTTCGAAGTGAGAGAGAAAAAAAACAATGTCGTTCCTAAGATTTAGCCTAATCCCCTTTTGTCTTATAGAAATTTTTAATAATATTTTGGTCCCTATCATTTAGAGATGGATGTTTCGCCCACCTTGAATGGGATCCACCCTGGCCCAACTCGACTGGGGCGGGAATTCCTTGAATTTCACAGGTGATGAATTGGAATAGACAGAAAAATTCCCCATTGAGATTCTTGTGGGGGGAAATCCCCATGGGGATTAATACTCGATATTCTCTAACCTCTAGGTCGGGGATGGACAACATCTCATCCCCAACGAGTTGAGGATGGGCGAATCTCCAAAGGGTCAGGTACAAGCTCGGGGACCCCAATTCCCAGCCCTGACCGGGCCCGCGTCCATCCCTATTATCATTAACGTTGCTTAAGTCAGACTTAACGAACGAAATTGTTATTATCAAGGTGCAAAAAAGATGAGAATGACAATATCAAGTTCTTCTCCCTCTAAAGCAAGTTTACTTATAAAAGGAGAGGACATGTGAATCAACAGTGGAGCCAGGAATTTAAGTGAGAAGAGACGAATTTTCAAAAAGTGATATAATATGTAATTTTCAACATAGTGTTATTTTTATACAATATAATTACAATCGTTTTCGACATGTTTTAATGCTTTGAAGATGACATTTCAAAAAGTGATAATATATAACATTGGTCATATTTATTTATTATCTAACTATTTTATTTATGAGTTTTTTTTTTTTTTTTTAAATTCAGGGGTGGCATTTGCCCACCCTGGACTAGTGCTAGCTCCCCACTGAATGGGAACTATATTTCTGTACCTATATCCGCTCAATCAACACAACTAATATTTTTCTATATATATAGAACAGCGGTACAGCACTACTAACAAAATTCAAAATAAATAAATTTTAACCAGATAATTTAATAATAATCGTGTGGCACGAGATCTTTTAAAGTTCAGATGAGGACAAGAACCGGCTCCCTGTGTTTTTCCCCCAAAACACAGGCAATGTAATGGTTGAAATGACATTCTTTTCAAGTGTAATTATTTAAGGCTCCTATATATCTCTCTCTATATGTATAGAATTACTACTAGGCTACTAGTACTCATTCTGATTTTGTGAAGAAGAGAATGGCTTACTACAGTACAGTTCTCTTATTGTTATACCTCTCTTGGGTTCTCTCTTTTTCTCTTGTGTGTTCCCAGAATGATTTGCCCGTAAAAGCTGCAAGTATTGGGAACTGGCTTCTCATAGAGGGATGGATGAAACCTTCTCTCTTTGATGGAATTCCCAACAAGGATCTTTTGGTTAGTACATCCTTCCATTATGTGTACTTGTGTTCATATTTGAGCCTGTTACATTACATCCTGCATCGTTAGCAAAAACCAGTTTCCAGTAATTTAGATCATTGAAGTGAGGAAAGGGTTAGCTTTTCTGTGTTTTTAATATTTCCTCAGGGAAGATTCGGGAGATAATCCATCTTTACTTTTTGGCTGCCGACTTTAGGTAGCTTTCTGCCACACAATGCATTCAATAATAAGACAACAATATATATTTAATTTTGATAGTGATATATCTCCAACTTGGAAAATTATTTCCACATCTCAATAATTGTATTATGAAGATATTTCTGACTATTGTGAATATTATTTCTTGATTTGATGTTTATTGGCAGGATGGAACACAAGTGCAATTTATGTCCACACAGCAAAAAAAGTATCTATCTGCAGAAAATGGAGGTGGGAAAAACTTGATTATCAACGGCAGCTCAGCATCTAGTTCAGAAACTTTCAGGGTTTGGTTCCATCACCAGGCTAGAGCTAAAGTTTATAATTTTCTCCTATTAATACCTGCTTCCTTTGCTTATTGTGCAGTTGTGGAGAATCAATGAGACATTTTTCAACTTGAGAGTGTCCAATAAGCAGTTTGTTGGATTGGAAAATGAAGGCCAGGGAAGCAAACTAGTAGCAGTTTCAACATCACCAAAGTCTTCAGAGATATTTCAGATAATAAGGAAAGAAGATGATAAAAATCGAGTTCACCTCCAAGCATCGAATGGGCAATTTCTACAGGTACTACAAGAAAAATGAGATCAGACAATGTGAATTCTATAATGTGTATCTAATGAATATTATGAAATACGTTATTCAACAACTAACATATGCACATGATGGGTAGAAAATTGTTAAACGACGCACGGATGCCTTATAAGATAATGAATAATGCATGTTATGGAAATTTGCGCATTTTTTGAAACATCAAAATTCACAATGTGCTTGGCATGTTATAGCTCCCTCCTTCTCTTTTTTTTTTTTTTTTTTTTTTGGTAATAAATTGTCCTGATTATTAGCTTCTACAATATCAATAGGTGAAATCAGATGCAGACATTACTGCAGATGGCAATGGCTCAAGTTGGGATGATGATGATCCATCTGTCTTCACCATGATAATTGGCAGTGGCTTACAAGGTGAATACCAACTTACAAATGGTTATGGCCCAGATAAAGCTCCTCAAATCATGAAGGTAAGAGTTTAACTAATTTAAAACACAGAATAGTATTGAAAAACGAAAAAACTTTGATTAGAAATTTTAACGGATTCATATTCATCTACCTTTAATTTTAGGATCATTGGAACACTTACATCACCGAGGAGGATTTCAATTTCATGTCACAAAATGGCATCAATGCTGTTAGAATCCCAATTGGGTGGTGGATTATGTACGATCCAAATCCTCCAAAGCCTTTTGTTGGAGGCTCATTGGAGGCGTTGGACAATGCTTTCAAATGGAGTGAGTAAGTACACAGTCAATCTCTCTTAGTAACCTCCCTCTATTAAATCCTCCTATGTACAATACAGACAAATACACAGATATCCGCGCATGAATTTTTTTTCCCCTTAATTACTAACCGAAGTATTAACTCATTTCTCCCCATTTATGCAACTGCAGGAAATACAAGTTAAAGGTGATTGTGGATTTGCATGGGCTGCGAGTTTCCCAAAATGGTTTTGCTCACAGCGCATCAAGAGATGGCTTTCAAGAATGGGGTAGCTCCGACATACAGGAGACTGTGGATATCATAGATTTTCTTGCTAAAAGGTCTCATGAAACTAATGTGCTTGTTCTCGCTTTCGCTTTCGTTTTCGTTTTCATTTTCTTTTTTCTTGTTTTCTGAAATCTAATGCGAATATTGTCACTGTGCATATTGCAGATATGCTAACCAACCAAGTCTTCTGGCTATTGAGTTGATGAATGAGCCCCGTTCACCTGGTATCAATTTGGATGACCTTAAGAAATTTTACAAAGATGGTTATGATGCTGTCAGGAAATACACCAAAGATGGTTATGTGATCTTTTCTAATCGCTTGGGAGGTGACTTAAAGGAGCTGATCTCATTTTCAAACAGCTTCAGTCTTGTAGTCATTGACATCCATATGTACAACCTCTTCTGGATGGGATTCGACAACATGACTGTGCAGCAAAACATTGATTACATTTATAATAGTCGAGGTTCAGATATCAAATCTGTCTCCGACCAGGGCCCTCTAGTCTTTATTGGTAAGTTAAAGCTGAGATCCAACACTCCTGAATCGTATGTGCGAGTTAGACTCAAAACCGACAATATTTACAGTTGAATGACTCTGTTTTAGAATTTTATAACTCGACTTAGAATGAGGATTGTATTTATGTATTGGCGTGGGATTTTGCAGGTGAATGGACAAGTGAATGGGATGTAAAGAATGCATCAAAAGAGGATTACCAGAAATTTGCTAAGGCAGAACTAGAAGTGTATGGGCGAGCCAGTTTTGGATGGGCATATTGGGCGTATAAGTGTGACCAAATTCACTGGAGTCTCAAATGGATGATTGAGAACCGTTTTATAATGCTATAGCTAGATCCTTCCTTAGCCACACATCAAAGAAGGCTGAATTTTTTGAGTCTTGATGTGCACTTGACATCTTTTTTAGTTACATGCATAATTTTAATTGTTAGTTAATAGTTTCTGTTTATTGATTATTAGATTAAGTTAGCCTCTGAATTTTAAACAGTAAAAGAAAGAAAAAGTTTGTACAATTTTACTCCTGTTCACCTAATTTACAGATTATGTTCAACAGAATTAATATCATTATAATACTGACTCACCTTTCTTGCTTATAAAATAAATAAATTTGCCTGTGATTATTATCACTCATTATAACAGAAAAATGTATCGCAAAAATTCTTATTCTTAAACTCAAGCTTAATAAAGAATTAATAATTCAAAGACCCCGAAAACGTCGGTGTTGGCCTATTAATACTTCATCGACAATTTCAACAAATTCTCTCTCTTTAATGTTTGACTAAAACACTGACATGGTGGAAACTGGAAATTTCCATGAATTTGCTGTACAATTCGTATTTCCTTTGTAGAACAACTTTAAAGACCGTCAATTAATGCTCGACAGAATTTGAATAACAATACAAATCAGGACTAATTAAGCTGAATGCCTTGCTTCACACGCATGGCTTACAAAGATATATTGATTCTATGACAAGTTTGTTAAAGCCAATTATCAAGACTGTTACTTTAGATACAAGTAATTTCTAAGAACTCGCCCTCAGTTTCGATTATAAGAATGCCGGAATTGTTAGGAATCTCCGGTAACATATCCGAAGTTCGTTAGCTAAATTGCTACCGGATGTTCCATACTCTCCAGGAATGAAGTTGTAAGCAAGTAATCTGGGTTTTTTTTTTTTTATTGGGTGGGGGGAGATAGACTTAAAGTTTGGGTGAATGAAATGCAAATTGAGTAGCTGTTGACTTACCTGCAGTGGAGCATTCGAAGTCAAGACCACCAATTATTTTTTGACAGAATTGAAATTAATTAACACATTCTACTATTAACTCATCTTCCCCACACCTCTAGTGTCGGGTCGAGGATGGACAACATCTCATACCAACGGGGCGAGGATGGGCGAATCCCCAGAGGTTAGATTGGGGGACCCCAATCCTCAGCCCATCCACGTCCATCCGTACTATCATTGTTGCTTAAGTTAAACTAACTAAATGTTTATTATCAAGTGCAAAAGGATAGAGTGACAATATCAAGTTTTTCTTCCTCTAAAGGAAATTTACTTATAAAAGGAGAGAACGCGTGAATCAACAGCGGCGCCAGAATTTAAGTGAGAATAGACGAATTTCAAAAAGTGATTAATATGTAATTTTCAACATAGTGTTTTTTTCATACAATATTTACAATCGTTTTCGACATGTTTTAATCTTTGAAGATGACATTTCAAAAAGTATAATATATACCATTAGTCATATTTATTTATGAGTTTTTTTTTTTTTTTTTAAATTCAGGATGGCATTTGCCACCCACTGGACTAGTGCTAGCTCCACCACTGAATGGAAACTATATTTCTGTACCTATATCCGCTCAATCAACACCTAATATTTTCTATATATATATATATAGACAGCATTACAGAACTACTAACAAAATTTAAAATAATTTTTACCAGATAATTTAATAAAATCGTGTGCACGAAGTCTTTTAAATTTAGATGAGGACAAGAACCGGCTCCCTGTGTTTTTCCCAAAAAACAGGCAATGTAATGGTTGAAATGACATTCTTTTCAAGTGTAATTATTTAAGGCTCCTATATATATATATATATATGAATTACTACGGCTACTAGTCTCATTCTGATTTTGTGAAGAAGAGAATGGCTTACTACAGTACAGTTCTCTTATTGTTATACCTCTCTTGGGTTCTCTCTTTTCTCTTGTGTGTTCCCAGAATGATTTGCCCGTAAAGCTGCAGTATTGGGAACTGGCTTCTCATAGAGGATGGATGAAACCTTCTCTCTTTGATGGAATTCCCAACAAGGATCTTTGGTGTACATCCTTCCATTATGTTTACTTGTGTTCATATTGAGCCTGTTACATACATCCTGCATCGTTAGCAAAAACCAGTTTCAGTAATTTAGATCATTGAAGTGAGGAAAGGGTTAGCTTTTCTGTGTTTTTTAATATTTCCAGGGAAGATTCGGGAGATAATCCATCTTTACTTTTGGGCTGCCGACTTTGGTAGCTTTTGCCACACAATGCATTCAATAATAAGACAACATATATATTTAATTTTGATAGTGATATACTCCAACTTGGAAAATTATTTCCACATCTCAATAATTGTATTATGAAGATATTTCTGACTTTGTGAATATTATTTCTTATTTGATGTTTATTGGAATGGAACACAAGTGCAATTTATGTCCACACACAAAAAAATATCTATCTGCAGAAAATGGAGGTGGGAAAAACTTATTATCAACGGCAGCTCAGCATCTAGTTCAGAAACTTTCAGGGTTTGGTTCCATCACCACTAGAGCTAAATTTTATATTTTCTCCTATTATACCTGCTTCCTTTGCTTATGTGCAGTTGTGGAGTCAATGGGACATTTTTCAACTTGAATGTCCAATACAGTTTGTTGGATTGGAAAATGAAGGCCAGGAAGCAAACTAGTAGCATTTTCAACATCACCAAAGTCTTCAGAGATATTTCAGATAATAAGGAAGAAGATGATAAAATCGAGTTCACCTCCAACATCGAATGGGCAATTCTACAGGTACTACAGAAAAAATGAGATAGACATGTGAATTTATAATGTTATCTAATAATATATAGAAATATGTTTTCACAACTACATATGCCCATGATGGGTAGAAAATTGTTAAACGACGCACGGATGCCTATAGATAATGAATAATGCATGTTGGACATTTGCGCATTTTTTAAACATCAAAATCACAATGTGCTTGGCATGTTATAGATCCCTCCTTTTTTTTTTTTTTTGGTAATAATTGTCCTGATTATTAGCTTCTACAATATCAATAGGTGAATCAGATATATATTACGAGTTTTATATTTAATGTTGTATGTCTTGCAGGAAAATGGGATAAAAGTGATTATCAATTTGTACGTCCTCCAAGGCTCACAGAATGGTAATGACCACAGTGGGACAAGAGATGGTTACCAGGAATGGGGAGATTCCAACATTCAAGATATTGTGTTTGTCATAAACTTACTTGCTGCAAGGTTAACGCAATCGATTTCTAGAGATCATTCTATTAATGTTATACTCTTGTTTTGATGTCAATCTAACGGTTGTTGATGAACAGGTATGCTAATCAATCAAGTCTGGCACCAGGAATCACTCTAGATACTTTTGAAAAAGTATTACAAAACTGGTTATAATGCTGTGAGAAAATAAACCTCAAGTGCTTATGTGATCCTCTCCAATCGTTTTTGATTTCCGGTTGATCTGAAAGAGCTCCTCCCGCTTGCAAACGGGGCTAGTGGAATTGCCATTGATGTGCATTACTACAACCTCTACTCGGACACGTTTAACAACTTCGACGTGCAGCAGAAGATCGATTATATCTATAATCAACGAGCTTCTAGTATAAATTCTATCACCCCATCTAATGGTCTTCTAATTTTCATCGGTAAGCACAACGATAGTTTAAGCCTTTATTTACTTAACATGTTATCGAAGTTGAAAGTAGTCGAGTTTTGCAGGCGAATGGACTTGTGAATGGGGGCGTACAAGGAGCATCGATGGCTGATTTAAGAGAGATTTTGCAGGGCTCTAATAGATGTTTATGGCCGTGCCAGATTTGGATGGAGGTGTTGGGCTTATAAATGTGTGTATAATCACTGGAGCCTCGAGTGGACGATTGAAAACAATTATATAAAACTCAACCCATTGTCCGCCTTGGCCCAATGGAATTATAATCCCAAATATTTAGGCCTGCAACTTTAAAATTACCTTAATATATATCTCCAAATAAAGGTCAAATCAATTCATAAATTACAGAAAGAAAAAAGAGCGAAATTAAAGGACACAGAGAGCTGGTCTCATTTACAGTGTCTTCTCAGATTGTTTCAATAAATAAATCTGTGCAACATTGATAAATTAAAAATTAAATTAACTTTGAAGCTGAAAATATAATAAAGGAAGTTTAATATCTACAGTTGGATTTTGTTCAAGTAATTGGGCTAAATAAAATGGGCCAAGGCCCAGTGATGAAGTAAGCCCATGATGAGTAAGAGAATTTCAAAGTGAGAGAGAAAAAAACAATGTCGTTCCTAAGATTTAGCCTAATACCCTTTCGTCTTATAGAAATTTTTAATAATATTTTGGTCCCTATCATTTAGAGATGGGCATTTCGCCCGCCTTGAATGGGATCCACCCTGGCCCGACTCGATTGGGGCAGGAATTCCCCGAATTTCACAGGTGATGAGTTGGAATGGACAGAAAAAATCCTCGCATCTGGGGACATGCTGGGTATGGGGGTCAGTTTGCCCCGACAAGGACTTAACCTGCCCCGCCCCCAAAAGCCCCATAAAACTTTGACCCGTGTCGTTCTTGATCGCCCCTTGAAAACCTCAACCCATCCCAACTCGCCCCGAAATTTAATTTTGATATTCTATATAATATTTTAAAATTTAGTCAATTAATTCAATACTAAATAATTTCTTGATAATCTAATCACATTGTAATTAATTAATTAATTACAATTTAGTAAATAATTAATTATTTGCAATTTGTAAATTTATTGCACTATTACATAAATTAAGGTAATTGAGTTTCTCTTTTAAGTAAATTATCTAAACTTTGGGAACATTTTAGGAAAAATTAATATTAGAAAAATTAATATCAAATTGCACAAATTATGTTATCTTTCTAATCAATTAATTATTCATTAACATTGTTTTATTGTACACAAATTCTATTATCATGTCTTTCTAATCAATTAATTAGTCATAAACTTTATTAACATTGTTTTATTTTTATTCAATGGTTCACTAAGACTTGATGCAATGATGTATGGTGTATCAATCTTGATTTTTATTTTTATTAATTAGTCATAAATTACATTAATAGTTTTTGATTCTTTAAACCTTTTTCATTAAAAAAATAATTAAATCAAATAATTGATTGTGATTGATGAGTTATCAAATATCAATCTTG